TCAACTACCCTTTCGTTCGAAAAAATAGGGGTGGTTTATGTTTCGTGTAATTGACAACGTAGCAAAAAGTAACATCACTCTCTGACTTTCAATCTTTCAAACATCAATTACTTAGAACGTTCTCGTTATCAATCTTCGGTTTTCAATGAGAATCGAAAACACTATCCACTATGTGTTAAAGCTACCAATCTCAAAGCCTAAAACTACTTGGCGAAGAAACTCTCAATAACACTCAGAGCGAATGGAAAAATCGTACAATATGTACTAGAGGGGAGTATGTAAAACCGATCTCTACTCGACTGTACCAATCTAAGTAATTGAGCGATACTAAAATATGTACGCGTCTATACTTACGTGTTTTTGCGTAGGGTCGCGCCGGTCTCGGTATCGATATATTTCGCTGTCCATCGATGCGTCACTTCGGCGAGACCGATAGATTGATCACCGCACTGAATGACGTCCTCATTCCGGCCCACTGTTCCCTGGGTCCGGCAACCATTTTATATATAATATATCTCATACAAATGTGAATATTTTAACCTTTTTTGGTGGATTATGATAAAACTATCTATCTGTGAAATATGTTATAAAACTTAATTAGGTACTACTTTGCGCACTTTATATATTTTGTACAAGTACAGCGCAGCCCGTTTCTAGGATTGAAAACATTATTTTTATGTAAACTAAAGCAGGCACTATATATTCAAGTAAAAGGGGTTTCGAGCGATTTCTGTCGCGTTAGTGAATTAGCTTTCTTTGTGCCACATGAATACTGAACAGTTTTTCTCTATTGAAACATAAAAACTTAAAGTAGGAGCTTAGTAGTTAACTTATTTACTTCCTGCTTCTTGGAGAGCTTTTTAATCTAATAACCCTGTTGCAATTACGAACTTGCTCTATTTTTAACTCCGTAACTTACGAAGCAATATCTAGTAATGAATTTATCGGCTAAACCTCTTACTTTTACAGTAATTACCGAGTTTATATCTTGTTGTTTGACTTGAGTAAAAAGTATCCTAATGAATCCAACGCCGGATAAGATTCTTTTTCATATAGACGTTTTGGTTAAAGAAATCGGTTTTATTTAAGATCAAGATAACACGACGACTTACCTTGAGTTTGTTTTTGTTTTTATTCCGTCGTGACGCCCGCCTTCGCTATTCATCTGGATTTTAAGATTATTTTTGATGTTTATTGTTTGGTTTGTAAATTGCGAGTGACAAAAAGCCTCGATCTTGTTTTGCCTGCAAAGAACGGAGACAAGCCGGTATACAATATTGAGCTATAAATGTCCGTTTAGCTAGCTAACATTGGTTTTGTTTGAATGGCTTTTGTGAAAAATTTCTCGTCGACCGCTAACGTTTCGTATGACATAGTAAATCCCATTCTAGTGCAGAGGCGTCGCTTGCGGCAAAACTGTCAGGAGCGTTTTCAAAGAATTATTGTCGCATGACAGCATTGCCCGCGCGGACGAATGTAACAAAATGCCGCAAATCACAATGGCCGCGTTTGTTTATCAGCGGTCTATGCGATTTATTGGTAGCTGTGCAAACGATCGTGACTCTGTGCAGTTTTGTGAATATTTATTGATTCCTTGGGTAAGTGTTACGAGGAATGCAGAGTGCAAACGATGCTAGATATTTCAGAAGCTAGAATTGACATGTCGCGCTGATGCAAGACCAATACTACTTACCGTACTAAATATGTGGAACTAAATAACTAATGACAAAAATCTGTCTCAAACACCCTTTAAGAATACAGGGTAGATACTTATAAAAATATTAAGGGCACTTAATAGGAATACATACTTGAACAGTCACTCTAATAAGAAACGAATGAAGACTTATTCTAAACGCGGTGTATTATATTAAGTCACGTTGTTGGTGGCTATTAACATCTGAGTGCACATAAGCACGCTGGCTGCCTATGACATTATTAAACTCAGGCGCATGTCTGCTCGAGTGACGCTAAAAAACTACGTGACCGCGTTGTACAATTGAAGTTCCCTCTGAAAAATCGTCTGCCCAAAATTCAGAGCGTATCCTGAACGAATAAAGAAAAAAATAGCTGCGGGGTCCGCGTGGGCCACTCGGCCGACTGTCCCGAATAAATTATGTTGATGAAACTTTTAGTTTGACCGTTATGCCGCGCTCTGCTATTTGTTTTAATAATCATTAGATATGAATCTCAAAGTTATGTGGTTCGTTGATACGTTAATTGTGGTTAATATGCCTCGGAGTTACTTCTTGTGTGCGTCCACACAAGTTATATCAGTTAGTTAACATACTCATTGTTGTTGGAGTAAAATTATCATTTGTAACATTTTTAAACGACCGATATCTTAATATTATACCAACGAATAATTATGTATGTTAAAAATACTTCAAAAATAGACTAAAAGGTTTTCTCAAAAAGCAAGAGCCGGAGGATACTGAAAGAATTTTAATAAGTTTTCAACTTGTACAACCGGGAACAGGGATTCAGGGTCTATTAGACGTTTAAAAGGAACTGAACAATATTTTCACGTAATTTGGAAACCATTTTAAATGGATTTTCGGATCAGAGCGAGTCATTTATAATTTTAGCGGTAAGAAATTGAAGTAAACTTTGAGGAATCTTAAATTAGTAATGTTTAAGATATTACGCTATTTCTTAAGATTTACTTTTACAGTAAAATATATTCAAGTCAATAGCATGACGTCACCTCTTAAAATTCACATATACTTGTGCCCCATCGTAAAGTCTAGTATTCGAGTGCAGTGACGAGGTGAATCACGTATCGGGCCGAGATAACCGAACGGCCAGTAAACTTCACGTCGAATAAAATGATTAACTTTATACGACCTTTTCACGGTTATTAAACCCGCCCATCGGCGGCGCGCCCCATGAAATGAAACTGGAGACACATTAATTCAAGTGCAACACGAAAAATGCATTAGCGGGTCGGATCGACCATTCGTCATTGTCCTGCACCACGTATCTCGTTTGGGATAGGTCAATGGAATCTCCGCTCGATATTGAATTAGCTTTAAAATACAGAAGATTGCTTTTTGAATGCAGATTGATTCTTTAAACGCGGTTTGCATCAGTTTGCTTTTTTGTTTTAATCGGTGCTTTAAGGAGATTAAAGATTTCGATTTAAAAAGGTACGTGAGACGAATTGCAGATTGGTTTTTTATTGGATTAATGTAGTGTAGCTGAACTGTTTAAGAAGTTTCTTTCGATAGACTCGAAGATTTTATTGAAATTGGGTCAATGAAGACACTTTTCAAGATCAGATGTTAGGGTAATCTTATAGAAACTCTTGTAAATGAAAACAATTTTAGTATTCTTTTATCCTGTGTCGTGGGTTTTCTTTTATGTATTTCGTGGTTAGTTCTTGATTAATCGGGCATTTTTCAATCAGACCTAGAATGACTACAATTTGTGCGGAGATTGAACTCGCAACACGTGGCATAACAGTCGTTTGCCCAACCACACAGTTTCACAACATTTTAAAATACTGAGAAAATTAAATATTTTTAAATACAAATGAACTCATGAATGCGTATATTATTTCCCTTTAGTCATCACGAACCTCATTTATTCAGCGCAACCTTTTGATGTCGGAGTTTGCATACAAAAAAGTTTCAATATAAAATCAACACATTCAAGTAGGGTTTCATAAGGACATTTATTTCAATATTATATTTCATAAATTACACATTTATTGTCAAAGTCAACGTAATATTAGCATAAGGTATCAAGATAGGTTTGAAAACAATATGAATATTATCGATTGATAAATTTGAAATGTTCCTAACGATATAACTAATGTCTTATATTAACTTACACTAGTCAGTTAAATATTTTTATCGATATTTATTAGTTATATAATATTAGTTTTACACCAAACCAGGCTATTACACTTGAAATTTCACATTTCTATGGTTTTATTATACAAGTCGTAGTTTTAACATTGTTGGTTACGTTTTAATACTCATTCTAAAAAAGGTTGAATTTTTATCGAGGCAAAACATAAAAAAAAAAAAAAAATTTACAGTACAAAATATAGCAAAAAAAAAAATTTAATAAAATAACATAATACACGAATATTATTCACTTTTAAAGATAACATATATCTCAAATAAAATATTTAAAAATATAGAATTCTAAGAAATCTAGTCACTTATGAGTATTGAATACATCATTTAGAAAATCATTGTAATGTTGAATTCATCCTTTGCGTATGTAAGTACCTAATGGAAAGAATGAGGGCTATCCCGTTCTGTCCACCAGATGTCGCTAATGTAATGCGTAGTGACATTTTGTCCAATCGCTGTCGCTCTCAATAATTGATAAGCCAATGACTGTGTATTAGCGAATAGTTTATCCAATAAACTATCATTACTCTAGTGTTTCTGGCGGTAAACTCATTCGCGATAGCCCTTATGTCTTCAACCATAGGTATTAAATTGAAGGGTAATTTCTTTTGTTCTTTTAAAACATTTTAACAATTAACACGCCATATCCTTGAATATCTGTACAATATTGTGGCACATACTGCTCGTCGTACTAAACTTATGTTGAACTAGCTTCTGCCAGCGGCTTCGCCCGTGATCCTAGGGGGAAAATGCCAATGTATTACTTCACACCATATTCTACCTCTGTTCCGAATTTCATAACGGTCCCTTCAGTCGTTTTAATATGACTGAGTAACAAACATTAAACCTGCACACGCGACGAAAGCTTAAAAATGGAGTAACTTCTCCCGTTTTCCCAATATTTCCCTTCACTGCTCTGCTCCTATTGATCGTAGCGTAATGAAAAGTATACTATAACCTGCCCAAGAGTATGAAGAATAATTGTGCTAAATTTCGTTAAAATCCGTCGAGTAGTTTTTGTTTCCATAACGAACATACAGACAGACAGACAGACAGACAAAAATTTTACTGATTGCATTTTTGGCATCAGTAGCGATCCCTAACCACCCCTTGATAGTTATTTTTTAAATATATTTTATGTACAGAATTGACCTCTCTACAGATTTATTATAAGTATAGATAGATGTAACTTTCAAATTCAGAATTGTTGTTCAACAAATTATCGACCTTCTAGGAAGGTTTGCCGTCGAAATTATATCTTTTTTTTTTATTTTATTTATTTATATCGGATTTGAAAGTAAGCCATCTACCCAAGTAAGTGTTGATAAATATGATAATATAATATTTCTGTTAGATGGTAATTGAACAAAAAGTTTCAAGTACAGTGTTTTGGGATTATAAAAGATAAAAAATTTGAAAGAGGTTTTTTAATCAACATCTATTCAACATAAACTTAAGTCATAGAACATTTTACAAACGTTTAGAAAGTATGTATATATCGCAGCACAGTTAGTAGTAAAGCGTATAACTGCGGGGGTAGGTGTTGCGCGAGGAAATATTGATGCGCATGCGACGCGGCCGGCTGCGCGCGGTGGGACGGAGAGTTGCGTGCGCGCTGCCACGCTGCGCCCGAGACCATCGGCTCCTCGGCACCAAAGCCGTTCATGCTTAGTTCTAGTCCTGTGAAATATATTTTTGTTATAAATAATTGTAGGTAACACAATTCGCAAATATTTTCATTGTACATAAAAATGAAGAAATGAATACCTCTATATTGAATACAATAAAATTTATTCATTTTATAAGTTTACTAGTAGTAATTTTTTTTCTTGTGTGAGCCACAAGCCTACGTTACCTGAACTACACCATTAGCAAACTGCGCATTTAACGTAGGAGTCTTGCATTCAAGTCTAATAGATATTGGTTTTGGTCAAAAGCTTCTAATTGGTCTTTTTTATTTTTTAATAAAGTTTGCCCCACACTAGGATTTTCTCCTGTGTCATGGGTGCATTTACAAACATACAAGTTCACATACACAATGACACCCAGACCCGAAACAACAAATTGTGGATCACACAAAGTGTTGTCCCGTGCGGGAATCGAACCCGCGACACGTCGCACGGCAGCCGGTTGCCCAGCCACCGCACCAACCGTGCAGTCATTCTTAAACATGGGTTTTCAATGAATTAGAAACCATGTTTATATGCAGAAGTGAAAATGGGTTAGAAGAAAGATGTTACACAGTTCAATACTGAACAAAGAACTCGAATATCTCAACTCATTATTATAGTTTCTATCTTACATTGTGACTAACAACGCGTGTTCTAAGTTCTGCTATCTACATCGAACTAAGTCGTTTAATGATATTGGCCACTTACTATGCAAACTGACTTGGCTCTCCATCTTTCCCAGTGCATTGACAGAGGCGCACACATAAGTTCCGTAGTCTGCGAGAGCCAAGGACTTTATAGTCAAGTTTATCCAAAGTGAGTACTCGTTCATTATAGTTTCTGATACACGAAGTTTCGGGTTCTCGGTCAATTTGTCGCTTAATAGTGCTGTGGAATTAAGGTTGTGTTAGTGAAGGAACTAAATGTGTAAAATGCATTTATGACTAAAGAGGTGTAATTATATTTCGTGACTCATTTTTATAATTATTATCCACGTTAGTGGGGGTTTTAGAATTTTTTGTAAAAACTCACCCTGTGTCTTATATGACTCTTAGTTTCATATCATAATTTGTAAGCCCCAGAGGAGATAGATAAACTTTCGTTCAAATCGTGGTTTCGTTTCCAATGATTTAGTCGAAAGTTTCAGAAAGTAAAGTGAGACAAAAGAAAACAGGCAAATTATAGTATTACAAATTTCAAAACGAGTGGAGCCATATCGAAACACTAGTTATGCTATAAAAAGATCCTTGAGACGTACGTCAGGTAAAAATATAATATATGTGGATATAATAAGGTAACAAGATAATATATGGGTATAGCGTCTCAGAAAGAATTTTTGAATTTTGTTAAAGACAAATTTTTGCACGTGTTCTCCTAATTTTTCAGACACGAACATAAAGTTACCTTATACATACCTACCTTTACAAGAAGTATGTTGTATCTTAAAACGAAAAACGTCTACTAAATTATTTTTGAATTTTAAGAAAATTGCGTTTATTTATATTCCCGGTTCCTCATAAATACAGCACTTCAACCGGATTATAATTTATTAAGGGATGTTTTTGTAAAAGGTTTCGTACAGGATTAAATATTAAAAAATGTCAAGTAAAATATAAACTTGGAATAATTACAGTTACCGTCTTCTCGGTACCAGGAGTTCATAGCTTTAGGAGAGGCTTCGATGAAGCACTGGAGTTCTACGTCGCTGCCGAGTGGAGCTCCTACTAGTTGATTGGTGACTTTGACTTGCGGTATGACTGGAGGAAAAGAAAGGTAATTCAATATTATTGCCATTTAATAACAGATAGGGAAACCTTACAAAGTATATGGTAGTTTGATAAGCACCCTATCTACTATTTAGAACGGTTGAAAAATAAAGAAAATTCATATTTAACTCTAAACTAATACAGTTCATTTTTAATTATTGCCATAACAAAAGTCATTATAGGTAGCTGTTCAAACTCAAAATTGTTAATATTTCAACAATTCTCATTACGATTTACGATGAACAAAACGACCAAAGAATAAAGTTTAGTAAAAGCGATTAGGTTTTTATTAGGTACATTTCCAACGAAAATTGGTTTTTCAAATACTTTTGTTTTAAACTCACATACTTTATTGATAAAAAAGAAATTTCATTTGTTGAACGTGTGTGCTAGATAAACAAGCTTTTAGTTCAATTTAACAGAGTTGCGAATGTGGACTTAAAGATACGTTGAAAACGATGAGCAGTCAATTCCATTAGGAATGTTTATCGAAATGTATTTCTTTTAACAAATTGTGAAATAAAATTCGATGCATATTTTACTTAAGTACGCAAAAGGTAAAAATATATAGGTTATGTTGGAATGAACCGTGTTTTATATTTTATGGTGAACTAAGTATTAGAAATCTATCATATTTTTTAGTTGGCTATAGATGGGGAGTATGTGTGACATACTAATATTGAGGTATTACAACTATAAAAAAATTATCTTAACTCGGTTAGGCATTGCGTCGAACAATCCGGAATTTCATAATCACATACAACAATCGCGAACAAATAAGAATCATATTATGTAGAACAACTAATCTATCAATTATGACGCGAACTATTAATTTGATGCAGAATAAATTCAAACAAAACACCAATCAAAGCAACATAAAATTAAACTTCGACTTTTAAAAAACTTAAATTAATACACACTCATATAAAACGGGAAAAACTTCAAGTCAAAGAGTTCAGTTACCGTTTCAAAATTTCCATAAAGTTTTGCATAATATTTAAAAGCAAATGAAACTAGTCAGACAAGACAAGCAAAACTGCAAGTAACTCTTTAGCATCCTTCATTCATTCCTGTAATGTCTTCAGCATTTCTTATTTCCTAGACGATCATTAACTTTAATTAAAGTTTCTTTTTGGTAGCTGTTTAGCCTTTCAATCACGCTAGCTTAGGTTCTGGTTACACGATCGTTTTTGTTTACTAGATACCTAATGTTTTATTTTGTTAAGTATTTATTTGCATTTCTTTATTGTTGTGTTTATTTGTTTTGAGTCATACTTGAATCACCTACCTCTTTATGGTATCAAAAATTGCCCAATTGTTTCGTCACATCGTATACCCTTTTTTTGATAGACAAAAATCATCCAATGGCTTATGCCGCCTTTGATGAGACGAGAGGGAGTGTCAGACTCTTACTGACAAAAAACCACCCCGTTCCTACTACTGCTCTTCGAGCCGGAGCCCCGGAAACCCTAATCATCCAACCAACATTGCATACCCTAAATCCAGTTTTTATTTTGCAAAACGGGATTTCAAATACCTTTCCAAGAGTGATACACTCAACCAGGATATGATGGAGATCACACCAAGAACCTCGATATACGAATGTGATTCATAAACCATATATAGTTATGATCTTTGTATTTAATCTCTGAGCCTGCATATACTGTTAGCACAATAAGTAACTGCATGTAGCCAGATCTTTACAAAACAAGAATATTCCACCATTTTTTTTATTTCGTGAATTCAAACCGCGGTAAATAAAGACGTTTAAGTCCAAAGTAAAATATTCGGACGGAATAATAACTTTAGTAAAGTTGGTGGGCTGAGTTCTTGCCCTTCTTGGGAGAGCGAAGTAATCGAACGGGCGGATCTTTTGACATTCATAAAGTGTACTTCATTTTGAAGAAAGAAGGAGAGTATTCATAACATTTAATACGTTCTTTAAATTCTTGATTGTTGCTGTAAACTGAATTTTGCTATGATGATGAAGGCTAAAATTCGGATCTGATGAACGTATTTCTATCCAAATGGTCGTTTATGCCTTGTGTGTCTGAGTTTGACTTGATTTAATTTAATATTTAGAGCTCAGATGGTATATTTTATATATTATGCATTCATTATCCATTTCAATATATATATTTTATTTATTATAGTGGATAATTAATTAATGGATTATAGTTATGTAACTATCTTGTTGTATGCAGTGATCATTTAAACGTAGCACTTTCAGAAATATCTAAGGTATATGCTTACAATGCACTTCCACGTGGTACCGTCGGCTGACTGTGGGCGGTATCCCATTGCTGGCGATGCAGTAGTAGGCACCCATGTCAGTCCTCTGCACGTGAGCCAACTCCAGGGTCTCACCTCTGTGACTGTCCACCACTGAAAACAAACTGTACATTAATTCACAACATCTAGCATGCCATCCCTTTCATTTTCATCAAAACCAAAAGAGACAACAATATAATTATAGAACCTTTTAGTTAAATTATCTCTTTAGTACATTTATGTGTAAAGGGGTTATAATGTTATGGGATAGCTCATCGCTTAAAACGTTCTCGCGCGAAGCCGAGCCAGAAAAATAACCGGCTAATGCATTTTATACATTTATCTCATTTCCACGTAAAAACGAGAAAAAACGTGGTTAAGTAGAACACTTTAAAAAACCTTTTTATTTCAGCTCCAGTAAACAAATTTAGGATCTTACACTGAATTGTATACGTAATCAATGCAAAAGGTTAAAACACACCAACAAAAATAAATCACACATGGGAATATTTTATGCGCTAAAAAGCTTTTAGGATTGCGATAGGGATCTACAGAAGAATTCACTTATACGGATTTATTTTAAGATGTAGAGGAGGGCTGTTCGTGTTTTTAAACAAACATATTTATTTGAGGCCGGAAATAGTCGCCGTATTCGTATCCTAGTTACTAAAAATAGACATAAAACTACAGTTGAATAAAAAATCCAAACATTGCTATTATAAGCTTTCATTGAATTTTATTTCAAATAAAAGTTGGAATTTAATAAGTATGAGGGATTTCTATGAATCATATCCAGTAAAAGGTAAAACAATTTTTGAATGAGCCCAGGATTCTCTTTTATCAACGGAACCGTTATGAAAGCCGAACTATGCGATCCTTTGATGATGAGCCTAGCATGACATGCCCATAAAATGAAGGAGACTTTTTCGCATAGCTTTTGGACAGTAATTAGCCACTTTTAAATAACCCGCTGTAATCTAGGAAAGGGGAATGTTTATTTCGTGTTTTCTTTATTAACTTTGGTTGGTTATCGTGGATTATGAAATGTTCCGCTCTGAGTTAGGCCTACTTTACTTAGCAAAAGTAAAAAAAACTAAACAAAAATAATTTTTCACGGGGCTGTTTAATAAACGAATAAATTATCCGGAAAAGAGCTCGGAGCTCACTTTACCAGAGTATTTAAAGTAATCTGAGCGTTATTTGTATGTGGTGTTTTCTTAACTTTATTCGCCCGGAATTCGGAGTCGTTCGAGCGCGAAAAAAATATTCCGACGTTACTAGAGACGAGATGAAGCGTCGACGTGGAGTGCGGCATTTTCTCGTTTCACGGAAATATCGTCCATTCTGAAATCGCTTTTGAGTATAAAATCTTTTATTATGCGAACACGGTTCATTTAACGCGGCATTAAGTGAATTTGTCGAACATCGTATTTTAAAAATGAACGGGTAAAAGAGCTGTAAAATATGGACGTAGTGGGGGGAAGGAGGGAAATTACGAGTCGGTGCCGAGGTATTGTGCTTAAGTTCCTTTTAGCGCAGTTTACCGATGATTTATTAAGCCTCCGTTTATTGCGGGAACTACAATGTGCAAGTCTGCCGTACCTAACAGTGTGAAAACACGAAATAATAAGACAGATAGACTCTACAATTACTTAAAAGTCCATTCGAATGAAATTCATATTTAATCGAACGTACATTTACAGTGTTTATTCATAAAGTTCCTTTTCAAAAGTGAACACAATAAAGTGAAAAGTAATGAATATTTGCCCAGTGAAGCATTTCACGGAAAAGCTCTTCGTTGCAAACAACAGTCTCATAAAACGAATAGTAAATCAACATTGCAGTTTTAATGAACAGACCGATTAACTTTGAATATAATATAATGGCGCTTATGCACGAGTTCTGTTTGGATTTCAGAGAATGTTTGCTAAACGGGATCAAAAACTATTTCGTTTAATTCGCGGTGGGCCAACAAGTCAGTGTAATTAAGAGATTGTACAGCAAAATCGGACAGTAATGAACTGTGCGTTATGGTGGACGTGACGTGACGTATAAAAGGGGAAGAGGGAGAGGTGGAGGGGGGTGAATTAGTAGTAGTCGATGCGTGAAACCGGACATTAGCGAGCAGCACGGTATTAATGACGAGCATCCATTCATTAGGCACACATCATCATTAGTGGCTCGAAAAATATGTACCGACATAATATAGTTGATTGGAACGCGATGATACTTTTGGTGATTTTGCAAATTTCTGTCCGTAGATATATTGGTGGACTATTTTGTTCGTGTGTAGGTTGACTATTAAATTTTATGTAGTGTTTGCATTATCCATTAATTGGCATAAATTGGGGTTCCTAAATATTTTTGGGCTAAGTAAAATGTTGGGTTTTATCATTATGAAAATGTCGTCTCCAAGAGAAATGGTTCAACACACGGTTTAGTTGCAGACATTTTTTAAAACATATTTATTGCACCATAAAGTTGAGAATCATTGAGGAAGAGATTTAATACTGAAAAAGTGGTACTGAGCTAGTATCAAATACCAATACTGTTCTCCTTATCGTATCTCCACACACACAAAGGTAAATAATTTAATTGGCTTAATTAAAATAATTTTCAAACTATTTTAAATGAAAGTCGTTTATTTCAATGTACTAATTATCGATTTTTAGTTAAAAGTAAATCGAACCACAGTAATTGTTGTTAAAATGAAAGTATTATTGTTGGTAATTAAAACTATCATATTGTGCAATAAAAGCGTATTGAGGGAATTAACTTCACATGGATTTGTGGCAGTCAAATAACTATTATGTAATTAACAACATAAAGTGTTGGCTTATTCTCTTTGTGGTATGATTATATTCTGATATCATGTGTCAGGCATAAATGCATTATTTTTTTGACTTATGAATACTTGCTTAAATAATTTAAGAAAAGGACTACATATTGATTATGAAATTACATATTGATAGAAATTAATTTAAAAGTATGTGCAACCAATTCCTTAGTATCTTGTAGATATACATAATGTAGTGTTTTGCTACGCCGCCCGTAGCTACGTAGCGAGCGTAGAAACATGCTACGCCGTAGTTGCGTAGGCGAAGTAATGTTCTATACCAAACAAATTATTTCGTTATTTCTACTGTTAAAAAATATTTATATCGTGTAGTAACAATAGGTCAAATATAATCAGCCAGCAATCGCTTTATATGCTTCAAAATTTAAGTTTTGAGCGAACAATAATAATTATGTGTATTTTCTCTAACTTCACTAAGAACCTAGATTTTTTAACTTCATAACATTTTGTCAGTCTCGTTGAAATTCATCTGCAAGTGACGTTTTAATCCGAAAAAGGAGGCAGCCAAAAAAAACTATAAAATTCTGAACGTGACCGAAATAAAAAAAATATATTAACTTAATCCTGTAATTCTCATAAAAAAATCAGACAGCGAGATAATGCAAAACGTCTATTTTTCATTAAAAAATAGAAAATTTCTGTCTACTTTCAACTTTTGTTGAATTTGCGAGTATAACGGCTAGGATAGAAATAGAATGATTCAAAGTACAGTTGACATGTTTATTTTTTGCTGTGGACGAAAAGAAGAGTAGGTACGGTATGAATTCTGTTCTTTTCGGAAATAAAACTACGGTGCCGCATATGTGTTTGTGTACCGCAATGGATGGACATGGCAACCTATCTGCAACCACGACTTCGTATTGTGGTGCGATGTTCTATTCCTGAACTCTTAATAACCATTGCAACTATAAGAATTATTTGCCTTGTTGAAATTCATAGTGATTACAGCAACACTAAAAAAGTGTATTTTATAAGAATATATATAAATATATATATATAATATATATATATATATATATTATATTTATTCTTCAATATATATATATATATATTGGTTTAATACAATATAAAAAATATATTTCAAGAAATGACTATCCAAGAAAAAATTCTTTAAATAATAAATGAAAACTAATTTTATTTATTTGTCCTACAAAACAGGCTTCTTTCATCAAAAGAGTCCAAACAAAAAAAGTAATTAAAACCATTTTGTTGGACACAAATAAATCGTAGTGACACAATGGAAATGGCTTGTTATCTAATATTAATTAAAACCGGTATCTATTTGCTAATGTCACTTATTACGAATTCACTGTTTGGTTAACACACACACATACATACATGGCATGAATTATATTACATTATGTTTATGTAAGGCAGGAGGCACATGAACGGTATAAAATATTTAGTGAATTTGTTATATTCTTTTGTCTTGTCTATGTCAGGAGAATCTCGTTAACCTGCTAGTAGGTAGGTTGAAAGAGATTTAAGAATCTGTGGTTAAATCGTAGCTAGTTTTTAAAAAAAAAATCAAAAAAGAACGTTCTCAGTTTGTTGTGATTTTGTATTTAGAAGTAATACAAAAACAATATTCTGGTATAGTGAAGTGGGTTTTTACTAAAGATATAACTATCTGTCTCTTCCTACCAGCTAGATTCTTCCTTGTCTTGAATTATTTTATTTGAATGTCAAAGATTTGTAATAACGTAGTTTGATCCTCAACAAATCATGTTTTCAATTTTTCAATTGACTTCCTCATTGTCCGAGTAGTCGCAAGTGCGTCTGCTGTACAAGGGGCTTCTGGTTTGATTCCTGGGTCGGGCAAATATTACTGAGTCTGGAGTTTCGAATTGTGGCCGGTATATGGCAATAGGTTCACCCGCTATTACATGGGAATGATAACATAAATAGTGAAAAGTGGGTGTTACATTGTACAGTGGCATTAAGTGCCATAATGTGCACCTCTGCCTATCCCTCCGGGGGTAAAAGACGTGATGCATATTAATATTTTTACATTTTACGCATAGTTCACTACTACTTATTACGAAAGTTTTTCTCAGTTCCCTAAAACAAAATAATACCACAGTCATGATTCTCTCTAATATTACCGGTAAATATTCGCCAATAATATTCTTTTGCATCCTAACCCTTGGATACGAGCAAAACAATAAAAAGGTGATCCTTATTCTCGTCGCGTTTTATTGCTAATTTTTATTTTTCACCCCCCATATCAAATATTGTCAGGTTTCGTATGGGTACT